AAAGGAACAGCATGGGGTTAGATAGAGTAAAGCTTCCTCTACACTGTCCCCCCATCAAACACTCCCAGGAATAGGGGGGTTAGATACAGAGCAAAGCTCACTCTACACCATTCCCCACCTAGCCCTTCTTGGGTGGGGTGGGCTGGGGTTTTAGACCCAGAGTGACTGAGCTCACTGGGACCAGGTTTGGTGGGGGGGGGGGTCGGGCGGGGAACACGAATTAGCGTGCTGCCCACTCCCTTGGTTTTCTCTGGTAGAAACCCCGGGCCTGGCTGAACCTCGGGCTGCAAACGACGAGAGAAAGGGGTTGGGGGGGGGTGCTTTGTCCAATCTGGCCGTGCTTGAACTAGATACCCCTCCCCACATCCCCGCCTTCTGCATTCCCTGGAGAACGTTGCTCGATCCTGCTCTGCTGTGACGTTTGGGGGGGGGGGGGGCATGGGAAATCAGCATCAGACGTTCACAGGATGACCGTAACCGCTTCTAAATTGTCTGACGGGGGGGTGGGGGGTTGGGGGGAGTGAGGGTTCAAAAGATGGGGTAATTAAAATACGAAAGAAAGTTTGGCAATTATAGGTAGCACCGTTAGGGGTTGAGGGAAGTCGGTGCTGTGGTTCGGGGCTAGTCAGAGGGCCGCTGGCAGCCATCGAATCTAATCCAGAGTGATGTCTACGTTGACGGGTGAGTTACCCCCTGAGCTGCCATTTCCGTTGGCCCTGTCCTTGCCCTCCCTCTTGCCACTGTACTGCCCGATGAACGATCCGTCCTCGTTAAACCTCATGTCCACGCTGCCACCGTAATCCACCAGGCTGTCATCACTGCCCAGGGGCTTTATTTGCTCGTCCAGCGATGGCTGGCTACCATCAAATGGTTTCTCTTCCTGGTCGTTGTCGCTGCAGGGTTTTGGGGGGTGGCGGGGGGGGTTAGAACAGGGCAAGGGTGAGGCACAAGGCTCATTCATTCTATCACCTCTTCCTCCCCACTCCCGACCCCTGCACGTACACAGGAACAGGAGGCCATTCAGCCCCCTCCCCTCCTCCTCAAGCCTGTTACACAGGAACAGGAGGCCATTCAGCCCCCTCCCCTCCTCCTCGAGCCTGTTACACAGGAACAGGAGGCCATTCAGCCCCCGCTCCTCCTCCTCGAGCCTGTTACACAGGAACAGGAGGCCATTCAGCCCCGCTCCTCCTCCTCCTCGAGCCTGTTACACAGGAACAGGAGGCCATTCAGCCCCTCCTCGAGCTGTCACACAGGAACAGGAGGCTATTCAGCAACCCCTAACCACCCAAACCCCCACCCCACCCACAGCCTGTTGTAGGTATACCACTGGGTGAGAATGAACATTTATTTGCTGTCTCTCTGACAGTGCATGGATTAACACATGCCCCCAAACAGTTTATTAATTAAAAGGCAACATTTCAGAAGTGGTAAAATCTCACACAAACACACACACCCCCACACAAACACACACAGACATTCTCTCACACACACACACACTCCCATAAACACACGTACATTCTCACATAAACACTCCCATAAACACACACACCCCCTCACACACACACACACATACACTCTCACATAAACACTCCCATAAACACACACACCCTCACACAAACACACACACCCCCTCACACACACACACACATACACTCTCACACACACAAACACACACACCCTCACACAAACACACACACCCCCTCACACAAACACACACACCCCCTCACACACACACATACACTCTCTCACACACACACCCTCACACAAACACACACACCCCACACAAACACACACACCCCCTCATACAAACACACACACCCCCTCACAAACACACACACACACCCCCTCACAAACACACACACCCCCTCACAAACACACACACACAAACTCAGAAACACACACACAGGGCTGCAGAGGCTAAGAGAAGTGTGTGGCATGATGTTGGATTTACAAAGTGATGTCCGTGCCTATCTGAGTCTGAACCTCTCTGCGAACCATGCAGGTAAGGGGTGCCGGGGCACAGGACAAAACCCAGTTTTCCAGTTGGGATTGAACAGCGAGAGCCAGCCTAGAGACAGCGTCAAGAGGACAAGAGGCAATGGAGCCTCCTCGCTGTGCAATGCCGACAGAGCCAGTTAAATTCACATCCAGGGCGCACATAGACTCAGACACAGGAAGTCTGCCTTGGCTTTGTTTGTGAGCGTTTCGGTCCGCACCCATTCTGGAGAGAGAAACTGATCGCGGGCCACTCAAATTCATCTTCCTCGGGCAGCTTCAATCTTCCTTAAGGTGTTGGTGACTTTCATTTTGTGGAGATGGCCCCCCATCCCACCTCGGACATTGTGTGCGCGCGAGGGAAACAGATCAAAAATGCTGTCGAGAGCAGCACTCCCTGTGAAGAGAGTCTGGAGGTTCACCAGCTCAGCAAGGGGGCACTGAATCGAACAGGCAAGGGTCTTGCTCCAATCAAGCAAGCTCCACAGTGGCATGGCAACACTCCAAGGGCTGACAGAAGGACAGCAAAGTTGCCAGACCGCAAGCCGAAGAGTCGCTTGAGATGGACGACGTCTCATGGATGAAACCGGGCCACTGGCCTCGCAAGAAATGGGTCTCTTCTCCTTCCCAAACCGCTCTTCCCGTGGGGACAGAAAGAACTGCTGAGAGCCGGAATGGCAGCGGGCACCACTGACACACACACAAAAAAAGATGATTCGAAGCGAGATGACAGATTTTAGCTAAATTTCACTTTGCCAGAGCAGAGCACTGGGGAGTGATTAAGAGTGCAAACATTCAACACTCCCGACAAAAAGCCAGCCCACTTAGCAACTTGGGACGCGTTCTGGGCTGTCCTTGTACACAGTCTACGTGGACAACGCCCACCCCACCCCACCCCCCAGAGATAAGGTAGCGCCCGCAGATGAACAGGGTGTTTAATGCCAGTCAATGCCACTTCCATCGATCCCTGCGCGTGCATTGTAACCAGGTGGGTTCCTAATGGTACACAGATGCATTGTACGTGGCTGTTCCTCTGGCTACCGCTTACGGCTTGCTTCCAGGGTGATTGCACCAGCAGGAAGCAATCCTTTCGTCGCACGCAATGGATCGGGAAGGGTGAATCTCACTATCTGCACAGAACGACCATCAGTGATACAGCACGGAAACGGACGCTTCGGCCCAACCAGTCCATGCTGACCCTAATCCCAAGCTAAACCAGTCCCACTTGCCTGCGCTTGGCCCGAGATCCCTCCAAACCTTTTCTATCCATGTACTTCTCCAAATGTCTTTTAAACGTTGTATCTGTACCCACATCCACCACTTCCTCTGGAAGTTCATTCCACACACGGGCCACTCTGTGTAAAAACAAAACTGCCCCTCATGTTAATTTTAAATCTCTCTCCTCTCACCTTAAAAATATGCTCCCCAGTCCCACCCTGGGGAAAAGACACCCACCATTCACCTTATCTATGTGCTTCATGATCTTATAAACCTCTCTAAGGTCACCCCTCAGCATCCAGGGAGAATAGCCCCAGCCTCTCATAACTCAAATCCTCCATTCCCAGCAACATCCTGGTAAATCTCTCTCGAACCCCCTCCAGTTTAATAATATCCTTCCTATAACAGGGCAACCAGAACTGGGACACAGTGCTCCAGAAGAGGCCACACCAACGTCCCTGTACAACCTCAACATGATGTCCCCAACTCCTACACTCAAAGGGTCTGAGCGATGAAGGCAAGCGTGCCAAATGCCTCCTTCCCCACCCTGTCTACCTGTGACGCTAACTTCAAAGGATTATGTCCCTGAGCCCCCCCTTGGTCTCTCTGTTCTACAACACCACCCCAAGGCCCTACTTTTAATTGTATAAGTCCGGCCCTTTTAGTACCTCACATGTATCCAACTTTAACTCCATCTGCCACTCCCCAGTCCATTGACCCAGTTGATTAAGATCTCTGTGTAATCTTAGAGAAAGGAAATGCACATGTATACCATTAGGAAAACCTGCATGGTTACAATGCTTGTGCAGAGATTGCTGGACGTGGAAATGACTGGTGTTCGCAACCTGTTTTATTAGTGAATGATAATTTCTGATGTCACCATTACAGGGTCACCTCTGTAATTTGTGCAGATGTCATGTAGTTTTCTGTTTGTCTTCTGGTGAAAAGGAGGATGTTTGGAGAACGGGCCTGTTGTACTGGCTGCAATACCTGGGTGGGTATCTCTACCTGTGGTAGAAGTGCCTCAGTCTGCAGTCTGTTACGCCCATTAAACACATCACCTGGGACATACCACATGTACTGACACACACACACAGACACATGCATAGACACTCTCACACACACAGACACATACACACACACTCTCACACACACAGACACGCACTCACTCAAACACAGACACACACTCACACACACAGACACACTCACTCACACACACACACTCTCACACAGACAGACACACACTCACTCACACACAGACACACACTCTCACATACACATACACACACTCACTCAAACACAGACACACACTCACTCAAACACAGACACACACTGTCACACACACAGACACACACTCACTCAAACACAGACACACACTCACTCAAACACAGACACACACTCAAACACAGACACACACTCTCACACACACAGACACACACTCACTCAAACACAGACACACACTCACTCAAACACAGACACACACTCAAACACAGACACACACTCTCACACACAC